CGGTGGGTGTCTCCCGCGGGGCCGCCGCGGCCACGGCGAGCTGGGACGTGGGGAGGAGAAACTGCTCTTTTTAAAATAAATGAACGCCTTTTTCCCCCGAAAGGGTGTGGGGGATGCTCTGTTGCGTCCTTCCTCTCGTTCTTAGGTTTGGTTTGTTTGTTTGTTTTTTACCCGCTTTCTTAAAACGCGGGTCCCTGGGTGTCAGGTGCTGCGGTTCGCTTCCTTCACGCGCGCGCTGGCGGCGGCGAGCGTCCTGCCGAGGGTCCGCTGTCTTCCCTTGCTCCTTCGCTGCTGTCGGACGTGAGGTTTGCAGTGGTAGGGAACGAGATCGCTGGAACGCGGTCGTCGTGGAAGCGTTTGAACGCCGTGCCCTGGAGGCTGTGGCGCTCTCTCTGAGAAATAGCGGGCCGCTAAATTTTGGCTCAAGTTCTCCTGCTACTATTGAAGCAATGTGCTTTAGCTGAAGCGATTTCAGATCGGGAGTCACAGGGCCGTCTCGTCTGCATTGGTGAAGGAACGTTGCAACCCGAAGGCCGAGAGCGCGTGAGGTGTTCTTTGCTGCATCTCTGGGTTTGAGTCCAAGACTGCTTTTCACTTTTCAGCTCTGCTCAGTTGTTCTTGCTCCTGACATGTGGATCTCTCCAGATAAACAGAAGATGATCTGTGTTTCAAGGTGCTTGCTAGTTAAGGATAAATAGGCAGATGGAAGAGGTCTGGAGAATGTTTATATCCAGTGCTTTTTGAGCACTGCAAGCAGTAAATTGTATCTTTTCCCTAGATGGGGAGGCCCTGCAGGTGGCCTTGCAGAGGTTGTAAGAGGACAGAGTAGAACAGAGGTTAGAGAAAGGATCAATTTGGGAATGCTGTCAAAGCAGAGGGGGCAAGATGACAACGTGGAGCTGAGCAGAGAGGGCTGAGTAGAGAGGAGAGGAATCGCTTTAGGTTTTGAATATAGTTAGAAGAAGGTGAAGTTTAAGACAAGAAAAGATGGAGAGAGGAGAAGAGGGGAATGATGTGATGGAAGAGGAAAATGACTTGAGAATCTTTGTGAAGGCTCAGGGGGACCTTTACTCATGGTCAGGAGAAATTGTGTTGCAATAATTGAGGGCACTCTATAACAAGAGCCAGCTTGCGTAGGAGGCAAGGCAAAGGCCAACTTCTAGAGTTGCCAAAGAGGAGGAGTTGGCAGCGTTTGATATAGCCCAAATGTGCAGGGCAAGAAAGTGACAGGAATTAAGGACAGCCTGGAGAGACACTGATGATGTTACTTGTGGCAGCAAAGCCACAGGCAGGATGGGAGTCCAGCTTTGGCCTTGTAAATTTGGCCTCTTATTTGTAAGTGTCGAGACTGTGAGTTTTCAGGTCGTGTGTTCGACTGATGCCCCTTCAGCCATTGCTTCCCCTGGCCTCATGCAAGTTTTCGTCCTGCCTTCGGAATTTACTATGCAAAACAGGTTGCCTCTTTTTAGAGGGGAAACGTGGCTGACTGAGCAACTGCATGAAGTTATGACTTTGCTCTCCCTTCTCTTCCAGATACCTTCTTGAGCAGCGAGATGTGGAAATCAACGTCCGCGATAAATGGGACAGTACCCCTCTGTGAGTCCTGCAGCCTCAGAGGCTGGGTGGGAGGCTAGGGCTTTTGGAGCTCCTTTGTCCTCTCTCCATCAGCACCTAGCAGCACTGTTACAAAATATCTCTGGTTCTGCTTTGTGGGAGTTTTGGCCAGGAGTTTTTGCCTCTCTCCTCTGCGGGTACTGTGCTAGATGCGTCCTTCTCCTCCCATCTGAAGGAGATTTGCTGTAGAAGCGCTGAGAAGCATGGTTAATTTTGTAACCAAATTACCTGGATTAAGCAGTCTGTTCTTGGCCCAATTAGGCTGTTTTTTCTCAAACTCTGTGGCATTTTAGCCTTTCAGGTAAAGGCTCTGCTTGGTGAAATGTAGTGCTATTGTGGGATTACTGTCTGTCTGGTGGGGTTGGGGACCTGCAGTAGATAGTGGAGAATCACCATGCTGGTAATGAGAAGGATAGTATGGGCTTTGTACCTCCTCGCATGCTAATTTCAAAGTGTGTTTAGACATCCACAATATATTTAGCATATGAAGTATCTCTGCAGAGCAAAAGTGGACTAACATTTGCCTGCTGCAGTGCAGGTTGCAAGGCTAGTTTGAGGTCCTCATTTGAAAGAGAGTCATAAAAGGCTTAGGTTGTGGGAAGAGAAAAACAAATCCATCTTAAGCAGAACTTTTGAGAGGTGCATTTGCTGTACCTCTGCTTTGAGTGCTGTTCCCTCATTATCCTAGGGCAGCAGCAGACTGACAGTAAAAGGAGCAGAGAGTGTTTCTGAGAATGCGGTGGAATTGCTGAGTGTTGCACTGTGAAATGAACTCACAGTGCAACAAAAGATGCTGAACCAAGACTGGGACCTTGAGATCTCCTTGCAGGACAGCAGGGCCTAGCATTGCTCAGGACAGATCCTGCTCAGTGTTGCAGGGATCAGACTTCTGTGCTATTTGGGAGCAATTTCACACTCTGTGAGGAATCATCTTCTAAGCTTGTCAGTGATAGCTCAGTGCTGAGGTCTGCATGCTGCGATGTACCCCAGCACTGAAATTTTCTTCATGTTATATCTCTAATTTTCTTTCTCTTGTTATTTCCAGATATTATGCTTGCCTGTGTGGACACGAAGAGCTCGTACGCTATCTTCTAGCCAATGGTGAGCAAAAGTGTCCTGCTTATGAGTGCCATGTTTTTCTCTATACCAGTCTGTTGGGACTGTACACCTTCTAGCTGTCTCTTGTGAAACCTTCTTCTATTAAAACCAAGCATCTGATCAGTGATCTCAGGCTTCAGAGGGACCCCACGGTCATCCAGGACCCATTTCTGTGGTCCTTCCTGCAGATTACTTGCTGCTTGAATTTGCTACAAGGAAGCTGTCTCTGATGACTCATTAGACAATGTGACTTTCTGAAATCACAGCTCATGTTTCGCAAGGATGTGTTACTATTGGGAATGTGTTGCTGCAAGAATTGTACCACCTCTGGAGAACTGTCTGTATAAAACTTCTACTGTTCTGATAGAGTCTTGCTTCATACGTAGGACTTTAGTAAAAGCCTTTGCATTTCACCTTTATTTCAAACAAGGCAAAGCAAACTCTCAGGCAAAATGACTGACCATTTAGTTCCCAGCACCCAAATT